TTTGGTACAAAGGATGTCTCAATGGAGATGAATGTATTTGGGAATAAACATCATATAAAACAAAAGGCATCAATAAGATAAAATTTAAATAAAAAAAATGAGCATTTTTGTTGTTGAGACTAAGTATTTTCATGAAACAAAGTCTCTTTAAAGGTATATACGCATTCATCTGTGGATCTTACTTTTCTCTGGGAATAAGCCTTGAGGGGAAAATTTGTTTTGCTAGACATTGAAACTAAGAGTGTGCGTGTATGCGTCCACGTGTGTTTAATTCAATTGAAATATGTGTGCATTGGAAACAACTATTAAGTAAATGGATTGTTTGTGGTTGTTTATTTGTCAGTATAGTTAGAGCAACAGACTAATTGCTAGAATTTTTTAATTAAGCTCTACAGTTGGTTTACTGTCTGATCTTGAAAAAAGTCATAATTTACAGGAATTGGTTTCACAGAGAATACTATTTATAATTAATTTAAGGAGAAAATCTTATCCTCTAAAAATTAGCTTTCAATGGATGCAAATAGTTTTTGTTCTTGCCATTATTATTTGCACACACTCGCTTTCTGCTGCTTACCTTGCATTTCTCTTCTGCCTCTTCTTTCACACAGTTGTCTAATCAACTACCATTTATTAAGCACCTGCTATAGCTAGGCAGGGCAGCTAGATGGCACAATGAACAGAATGCTGGACCTGGAGTCAGGAAAACCTGCTTACAAATCTGGCTTCAGACACTTACTAGCTGTGTGGCCCTGGACAAGTCATTTAATCCTATTTGCCTCAGTTCCTCATCTGTAAAATGAGCTGGAGAAGGAAATGGCAAACCACTCCAGTATCTTTACCCTTTTACCCAGAAAACCCCGAATGGGGTCACAACTGAACAACAACATAGCTAGGAACTTTCTAAGCACTGGAGATATAAAAAGGGACCAATAAAATAAAATAAAGTCCTGTACTCAAGGAGCTCACCATCTAATGGGAAAGACAACATTCAAACAACTAAGATATATACAGGATAAATTGGGGGTAGACTCAAAGGGAAAGCTCTAAGATTAAGGAGGACTGAGAAAGGTTTCTTGTAGAAGGTAGCTGAGACTTGAAGAAAGCCAAAAGGCAGGAATGAGGAGGGAGAGCATCTCACGTATGGGAGATAGCCAGTGAAAATGCTCACTTGGGAGAGGAAGTGTCTTGTGCAAGAAACAGTAAGGAGAGCAAGGTCATTGGATTATAGAAGGTGTGGAGGGGAATAAAGTGTAAAAAGACTGGAAAGGTTAGGAACAAGCCAGGTTATAAAAGGCTCTAAAAGCCAAACAGGATTTTATATTTGATCTTGGAGGTAACATGGAGCCACTGAAGTTTATTGAATGGGTAGGAAGGTGATACAGTCAATCCTATGCTTTAGGGAGATTAATTTTACAGTTGAGTGGAAGATAGATTGGAGTAGGCAAAAAATGAGGCAGGGCTAGCAACCAACAGGCTATTACAATAGTCCAGGCATGAAGTGATGAGGCCTACACCAGAGTGATTAAAGTATCAGGGGAGAGAAGAGGGCACATACAAGAGATACTTTAGAGGTAGAAATTGACAAGACTTGAGAATTGATTAGGGGGGAGGGGAGGAGCTGGGGAGGTGGTGAGAGAAAATGAGGTACTGAAGGAGACACCTAGGTTGACAACCCAAGTGACTGGGAAGATAATAGTACCATCAACAGTAATAGGGAATTTAGGAAGAGGGGAAGGTTTAGGTAGAAAGACAATGAGTTTAATATATCTATAGGACATAGAGTTTCAGATATTTAATGGGCAGTTGGAGATGCAAGGCTGAAGGTCCAGGACAGAGGTTAGGGAAGGATAAGAAGGTGATTGAAAGTCATCTGCATAGCGATGATAGTTGAAACCATGGAAGCTAATGAGATCATCAGATGAAACACAGTATAAAAAGAAAAAGGAGAGGGCCTGGTGCAGAGCCTTGGGGGATACCCACAATTATTGGACACAATCTGGATGAAGGTTCAGCAAAGGATTCAGAGAAGAAACAATCAAGACCGGAGAACCAGAAGAGAGCAGCAGTGTTACAAAAACCTAGAGAGAAGAGAGTATCCAGGAAATGAGGGTGATTGACAGTGTCAAAGGTGCAGAGAGGTCAAAAAGGATGAGGATTGAGATCATTAATGCCTTTGGAGAGAAGCGTTTTTAGTTGAATGATACAGTTGGAAGTCAGACTGAAAAGAGATAAGAGAGTGAGAAGTGGAGACTTCAGTTGTAGATGGCCTTCTGAAGGACTTTAGCCACAAAGAGGAGAAATACAGAATTATAATTATTGGGGATGGGTAGATCAAGTGAGGAATTTTTGAGGAGGAGGCATGAGAATTGGGCATGTTTGTAGGTAGCAGCCACTAGAGAGGAAATGATTGATTAGTGAAATAGTAGGAATGATAGAGAGGACAGTCTGCTGGAGAAGATTGTGGGCATACAGTGTCTCCTTGCATACTTATACTCATGTTTAGGAAAAAAAAAGAATTGCATAAGTACGTGATGGAGAGGCAAAACTAGACAACAGTTCACGTGAAAAAAGATCTAGGAGTTTTAATCAACTACAAGCAGTATAATCAAGAGGATAAGACTAAGCCACAAAAGCTAAGGTGATTTTTACTTTTATTAATAGAAACATAGTGAGGTTATGGTCCCACTGTACTCTTGGTATAGTCAGTTTACATTTGGAATATTGTGTTCAGTTCTTAGCACCATATTTTAGAAAGAGTGTTGTTTAACTGGACCAGTTCCAGAAGAAAATGAAGGAGGGAAGAAGTTTTTATTAAATGTTTGCTATATTCCAGGCACTGTGCTAAGCACTTTACAAATATCTCATTTAATGCTCACAATAACCCTGAAAGGTAGGTGTTTTTATGATTTTCATTTTACAATTAAGAAAATTGAGGCAGCCAGAGATTAAGTGACTTGCCCAGGTCACACAGCTAGTCTGTGTCTGAGGCTGTAAGCAGGTCTTCCTGACTCTATGCCCAGTACTTTATTAACTGTGCTACCAACTGCCTCTAAGGTAACTAGATAGGTGACGGGACTTGAAGCCATGCCATGAAACAATTGAAAGGAACTATAGTTAGTCTGGAGAAAAGAAGATTTAGTGTATCATGATAGCTATCTTCATATATTTGCAGGTCTGTTAAGTAGGAGAAGGATTAGATCTGTTTGCTTGACTCCAAAGGACAGAACTTTGAACAATGGGTAGAAGTTGTAGAGAAATAGATTTTAGCTCCACGTATTTTAGCTCCTTATGTGGTCTTTAAAGAAACTATATTTAAAGCTGTATTAAAGTGGTTTGGTCTTAGTTTCCCATCATTGGAGGTTTTCAAGTAGATACTAAACATTGGGCATGGGGATGGTGAGGAGTGTTATAGATAGAAATCGTATTCCATATAGGAGATAGACAAGATGACTTCTGAGGTCCCTCCCTACTAAGACCCTCATCACATCTGTGTCTAGCACCACCCACCCCACCCCATCCCCTACTCCTTGAGTACACTAATGTTTGTCATTCTAAATCCTATGTGAGGCTGGACCTTAATTAACAACAGAGAAACTGGAAAAGTTTGTAAGCAAAGATGAGGTGGTGTGTGAGAGGAATTATTATACATGCTTGAAATTATTGGGTATGAGGAGGGCTTAAGATGTGTACCTTTCAGAAGAGCTTAAGAAGTGTTGGTAGCAGACTGGGAGATTTGGGATTATGCCTAACTAGGAAGTGGCAGGGCTATACTTCTTTTCAGAAATGTAGCAAGGCTTAGTTGCTGCAATGGAAAAAGCATTGTCCCTGGAGTCAAAGCTTCAAATTCTAGCTCTGGTGCTTACTACTATGTGGCGTTGGACAAGTCACTCAGGGGTTGGGCCGAGGTTCCTTCTAGCTCTAGATACGTGATTTTGTGAACCAATCATCATAATTCTCCACAAGTTAATTCTAAGAGCAAGGATTTTCTAGCAATAGCAGAAAGATCTTCTGGTTCATCTGGAAGAAGTCCAGTGTTATTTATCACTGCTGCTGAAGGACTACTTCCTTTTCCTCTAGCCCTCCCTTGCCAGGATTTCTAGAATGAGAAGGAGAGGAGGGAGTATAGTAGCTCTTTTCTGCTCTAGTCAAGGTCTTGATTCTTAGCCTCTACTTTCCCCTTCAGCAAAACTTTGAGGATATGAAGAGTAGCTCCTCACAAAAAGATTATGTCCCTTCTGTTTTGGGTTTGTTTTTTTTTTAATAATGATTAGTATGTACACTTGGGAAAATGACATGTATTCTAAATTAACTATAATCCTACTCTGGGCCCTTTCTTCACTTCTAACTAAATGATATGTGCTAGATATGCTTATCATTGTCCAATAACATTTTTACTTTTTTGAAGGTGGAAAATTAACTCTACCTTTTTTTTAAAGATACTGCTTTTTCTAAGCCTAATTCCAACACATACCCATACTTTGCTACTATGTTAATGTTTTTACATAAATAGTACTTAATAATGAGAGAAGAAAAAGGATATTCAAGCAATGTTTTCAGAGTAAAATAATGTTGGCAGTCTTTTCCTTTTGATTTGAAATAGATATATTTTATAGTCTGCCAAATTACTAACTTTCTGTCTTACTCAGAGTCTAAGGAACCAGTTTTTATGTTTTCTAGATTTTTTTTCCCCCATAACCTCCTGTCTCGTTTTAGGTTTTTGGAGAGATTTTGTATGTATGTGATTTGAGTGCTAATTAGAATCTGTTCCAATCAGGAAAAATAAAGGGACTTAAAATTCAAACCAGTCATATTTATTCGTTGTTAACAGTTCTAACGAAAGCTTTGATGAGCAAGATTGACATTTTTGCCTAAAGTGGAATTTAATGGTTATCTTGGAATTATATGCTGTCCATGGTCTTCATAATTGATATTTAAAAAGAAAAAGCTAAAATAGAGATTTGCGTTATATATGGTTTATTACCTTTCTTCTCCTTTTGGAGGTCATGAAACGAGTACGCACAGAACAGATTCAGATGGCAGTATCCTGCTACCTCAAACGACGCCAATATGTAGATTCAGAAGGCCCCTTAAAACAAGGATTGCGGCTGTCTCAGACTCCTGAAGAGATGGCAGCTAATCTCACAGGTAATAAATAGTCTAATGGTCCAGTCTGGCCACTTTTCCCATCTTTGTCCTCTTTAATGCCATTTCTACTACTCCCAAAAGCACATGTGGAACTGTGATGTTTCAGTACAAATGGGATAGTTCCCCTCCCCTTAGTGATGAAAACAGTTTGTTAAAGTAATTTTCATAGATCTTTTCCATTTTTCTTCTATTGGTCATTGTTCTATTTCTGCACTTAAATGCCCTTGGGATAACTTTGCTTAATTTCATCTCTTGCCTAGCTTTCTTTAAATTGATCATATCTTACACTGCTTCTCTCCATTTTATGAAATATCCTATTAAACTGAGCTCCTTAAGAGCAGTAACTTTTTTTACTCCTCAGTACTTAACACAGTGCCTCAAATATAGTAGGTACTTAATACTTGTTGACTTAAAATTGTCCATCATCTATTCAGCACATAATAGGAGCTTATTAAATGCTTATTGACTTAATAGTCTTGTCATCTGTTCCAAAGTGATTTTGACCACCATTTCCTGCCACTTAGCAAGTAAGCTAAATATTTGCTAGTCAAGGCACTTTCTGGGCTGGGTTGGTCTTCTTGTTTTGGCAATAACTTTACATTGGTTATACTTTTGTGTAGTTATTATGATTAGTGTGAATTTCATTTCAATTGTCCACTTCTCATTTTTTGTTGTCAGCTATTTGTTTAATAGTTCAGGACCAAGTAGTTTCGATTGTATGCCTTGTCTTTCATTAGTCTCACAAAGTACTCCTCTGATACTTCATTGTGGCTTGGAGGTGACCCCAGATTCTTAAAGTATACGTCAGTGAAACATAAGCTTTACCAGGTTCTAGCCTCTTCTGTAAAGGCATCAGATTTGCCTCAACAGTCTGGGCTTTCTGAGGATCAGCTAAGTGTGAAGAGACTCTTCACCAGAAGGCAGGCCACTTGGTAATATTCCATAATAACCCATGAAAAAAGAATACAAAATGGCCTTTATTCTTGTAAGGCCTCTTCTGTTTTTGCAGAAGGAAAAAAAAAATCTGGCAAAGGCTGCTAAGAATCATACGAGTTTTAGAGACCATGTATAAATTTACTTCGTTGTTGCTCAGTCATTCAACCATGTTCAGCTCTTCATGACCCTTTCTGGGTTTTCTTAGCAAAGATAGTAGAGTGGTTTGCCATTTCTTTCTCCAATGGATCAAGGCAAATAGAAGTTAAGTGACTTGCCCAGGGTCACATAGGTAGTGAATGTTGGAGGCCAGATTTGAACTTAGGTCTTCCCAACTCTCTATCCACTGAGCCATCTAGCTGCCTAAAGAAGTTCCTTTGACTAATACACTAAATGTGAGATTCTTGAACCATGATCAAATGGACATATTATTGAAGGAGCTGAATTATATCAGTCTTGACATTATTTCTGTAAATGAAACAAGAAGAAAGAAACACTGCAGCTAAATGGAAGAAATATCTCCAAGATACTCCTCGGAGAGGCCAAAGAAAGGAGTTGATGGAATTTTATCATACTTTAAAAGGAAAAGGAACAATATTTCATGAGCTATTAGTCATCTTGTGGTAGTACTGATAAGTATTTGTAAAAAGGCCATCATTAAAATAATGGCAGTTTATGTACCAACGTTGGTTGCTGAGGATGAAAAGGTAGAACAGTTCTAAAAGGAATACAACCTCCCTTCCTCCCCTTCTCCCAGATTAAATCCACATACATTCTCATATTCTGGTGACTTCTGTGCTAAGGTGGAAAAGGGTAAGGATGATGAGAGGTGCATGGTTTAGTAGGAATAAGTGAGAGAAAGACTTGCAGACAAGACAGAATCTTACACCTTTATATCATGGACACTTTTTTGAGAAAAAATAATTTAACAGACAGGAAAAGACTTGTTAATGATATGAGAGTTTTCCTTGAATCAGCTGTCTGTAGAAGACAGAATAATCATTTTATACACGTGTAAAGCAAGGGATGCCTACTGATGTAATTCACCAGTGACTTAGAATGAATTTCCTACTTTTTAGTACTTCCTGTAGACTCAGCTGCTTGTTTACTAAATTGTATCAGCACCAAAACTTAGATTCTGGGACTTAAGTCCTCATATGTGTCTTCATGTTAGAGATATTCATATTTAGAAGAATAATTATATTCCAAAGGAAATTTGGTTTTAGCTAAGTAACTCCTTTTGCCTTTTGAAATCTGGAAATATTTGAACTAAAGTTAATAATATATTGGTATTCAGGTGACAATCTATAGTTTTATTGTACCTTTTAGAAAGGGATAGATTCACTTCAGATGAACAAGTACAGTAGGAAAGCATTGCTGTTATTGACATAGTTTTGTTTTTGTTTTAAGTATTGTCTTAAAATACAGCACGATTAAAAATGTTCTCAAGGCAGATGAAACATCAGGCACATAAGTATAATTCAATAATTCAAATATTTGAAATGCTAATAGCAGATGAATTAATAAACTAGACATGTTACTATTCTTGGAAGAGAGTCATTATCTTTTAAAAATATTATTTTACTTATCTTGATTGTTTTATTTTATTGTAGAGTAATAGAGAAACTATTAGAAATATATTTAATAGAAAGATAGTGAAATGGTACATGGTTTTACAGGTTCCTGCAGATATTAGAAAAACATATAATATGTTGACCTTTTTGATTGTCTCCAGAGTTTGGTCTTGTGGTTAATTTTTAACACTACCCAATGCTTAGATGGTTAGTAATCGTAATTCTTTGCTTATTTTTGATGGATGTTTGTCTTCTTCCCTAGTCCAATCAGAGTCTGGTTGTGCCAACATAGTGTCTGCAGCCCCCTGCCAGGCTGAGCCTCAGCAATATGAAGTACAGTTTGGAAGATTACGGAATTTTCTCACTGGTGAGTACTTGTCTGGAATCTCTTCTTTTTATGCAAATTTGAACCATGTTTTTGATACTTCGAAATAAATCCACCAACTTGACGAAAAGACATGGGAAAATAAAGAACAAAAGACTGGGAAGTCTAGCAGCCTGTGCGTTAATCCTGGCTTTACCACTGTCTAGTTTTGTGGCCTTATATTAGTCATCTGACTTCCCTAAACCCTTTGTTTTCCCAGGTATAAAATGAGGATAGAGGGCAAGGTGATGGTGATTAGACAAAGATCCTGCCAAACGCTATGGTTCTCAACTTAAATTTAATTGAAAAGAAATCATATGGAAAACCTTGGGATCCTACTTATTATTCAGTCAAAGAAATCTAAAGCAAGATTCCTATCAGCAAAGAGATTACATTATAGTTAGTTAGAGATAACATATTCCCTAAGATACTTGGGAGACAAGATGGGAATATTTCATATTTTCACCTCATAGTGTTAATTGGTTTTTTATTTGAATAATATCTGACTAAAGTGTGTATGGGTATATTTAAATTGCAAGTGAATGTGAGGGACCACGAGTTATATAACCACATTACCGTAATTTTAATTTTTAATTCACATATGACCTCATAATAGAAAAGGTAGTTGGTAACTTAAAAGACAATGTAGTAAAATGGAAAGATGCTGGATTTGGAGCCAAGGGATCTGGATTCAGATGCCAGTTCTTCCACCTGTATGACCTGGGGCAAGTCACTCAACTCTCTAGGAGTTGGTTTTCTCATCTGTAAAATGGGCTAGACCAGCCATTTAAGGTCCCTCCCAGTTTTAAATCAGTGATCCTTTGAATAGTAGTAAATGATTTTAAAAAAAAACCAACATAGGAAGTGAATATCATAAGAAAAATACCAAGAGATTCAGAGTGAGTCACATACTGTAAATGTGGCATGTTACTGAAAAGCAAGATGCTGGGATTCATTAGTAGAAGTGTGACAGGTCCAAGTTATGAGCTAATTCTCCATTATGCTTACTGTTGTCCAGATCATTTACAGAATACCATCCTTCTTCAATCAGTATCATAATGTTAGCATTGGAAGGTGCTTTAATAATGACCATCTAACCCCTTCATCTTACTGATGAAGTACTGGAACCCCAGAAAGGTCAAGGGACTCGGCCCAAGGTCACTCCCAAACCATTTCTTGAACCCAGCTTCCCCTAAATCCTAGTCCTGTGCACCCATACCCCAAAGACTCAGAGGACATAGTAATATTAGAGAAGTTTAGCAAAGAATTTTGTTTGCCACAGGAAGTTTTGAAAAACAGCACTTGTTATATTTTGTGGGAAGAAAAATATACATTAAAATATTTAACTATATAAATGGTAGCTGCTTAGGAATGATGATAAACTGCTTTCTACCTCAGCTGAGAACAGAAAAGGATGAAATTGGTTTATAAAGATGATTGTGCTGTCTCTTTTCCTTGAAAGAGAGAAATATTTCTCTCTCCCACATAATATAGATGTAGATGTAGTCTTCCCTAATATGGAGGTAGGTGTAAAGGATAAGGGACAGAAGAGTGCTTCTTCCCAACCCAAATTAGATGACCTGCCCTCAGCTATACCGAGGTTGCAGTGTTCATGCAGAAACTGAAAAACAGAAGGAGGTGGCCAGGGATGGTAAGGAACAGGATCTAAGGAGAAAGATGTCAGTTATTTAGATGTGTAGGTCTTAAGAAGTAAGGACTTTTTAAAAGTAATCCTATCACAGAGAAACTAGAACTTTTTAAGTTTCTTTCATCATATTCAACTATATCTTTAGTATTTTAAGCATGAATTTAATTATAATAATGTATGCCTTTTTTTTGGACTAATGTACTCATAACCATAGGGAGGCTCTTGGTGGGTCAGCATGGTTTGTTTCCCATTATCACTGAAGCTTAGATGTATTAAGTGCTATTTTATACTAGACTTTCATAGCTTTATTTTTTGTTGAGGATTTTTTCAGCTGACAGCTGCTTTTTCCTAAACATTGTACTCTACTTTAAAGTCACCAAATAACTAATAGTAGCCAAATCTAAAGTTTAAATGAATTTGCTATTCCCTCAAGCTATTATTCAACATGTCTTCTCACTTTCACATTCCTAGAAAAAAAAATTGGCTACTACCTCTGCTGCCTAACCACCCAATTATTTCTCAATCCCTCGAAATTTGAATTCTGATTCCATGAATCAAACTGAAATTGCCCTTTCCAAGGTTATAAGCAGCCTCTTAAGTCCTAAGTTTTATGACCTTTTTTTAGTCAGTGTTCTCCTTGACCTCTTTGCAGCTTTTGATACTGTTGACCACACCTCATTCCTAGGTATTCTCCCCTGTCTTAGCTTCTGTGATGCTGCAGTCCCCTAGTTCTCCAAACTGTCTGTTAATTCTGTGTCCTTTGCTGGATCATAATCCATCTCCTAAACCCTTAGCATGGGAGTTTGCTGGCATTATCCTGGGTTCTTCTACTCTTTTCTGCATGTGCTGTCTTAGAGATCTGATCCAGGTTTACTGATATACTAGCAAACTCCCACAGATTTAATATTATCTCTGTTAAGATAACTTCCAAACCTGTATATCCATCTGTAATCTCTCCTAAATTCCAGTCCTTCATCATCACCTCTCTGTTCGGTTTCTCCCCCTTTATGTCCTGTAGGCATCTAGAACTGAACATATCTAAAACATACCTTCTTCTCTAAACCTATTCTTCCTTAAAAACTTCCATATTTTTCTTAAAGGCACCACCATCCTCCCAGTCACCTAAGTTCATTTCCATCCTTAAGCATTGGCTATGGATGGTCAGGGAAAGAGGGAAGAGTCATCTGTCACCTTGGCTTATCTCTTCTACCTCCACAGCATCATTTGCATCCATCTCTTAACTCTCACAGCCACTATCCTCATTCAGCTCCTCATTACTCAGATAGTCCTCATTGAACTATTTTAATAGCTTTCTGGTTGACCTTCCTGTTTCCAGTCTCACCTCTCATCATTCCATTCTCATCTAGCTTCTGAAATAATCTTCCTAAGGTGCAGGTCTAACTGTCTCACACCACTGCTTTCAGGATAAAATGCAAACTCTTTAGCCTGGTATTTAAAGTCCCCTATAGTATGCTTCCCATTTGCCTTTTTAGCCTTATGTCGTAGTACTCCCTTTCATAAACTCTGCATTTTAGCCAAACCAGACTAGTAGCTGCTGCCCAAACTCAATACTCCGTCTTCCATCTTTGTGCATTAGATGAATGCCTTGCCTGGAAAACTGTCCTTTCTCATCTTTACCTTTCAGAATCCTTATACTATATTAGACTGGACTTGCATGCTGTTTCTGTCAAGCCTTTTCTTGTCCTTCCGATTGTTAATGCTCTCTCCTCAGTCATCCTTAAACTAGAGAGATCTATATCTGTACTGGTAGATATAGAGGGATAAAGATATTATAGATATAGATGACTTTTGTAGGCCTTAGTTTTATCATCTGTAAAGCTGGAAATTTAGAGAAGGGTTGAAAATTCCTTCAAGCTGGAAAATTCTGTGGTTCTTAAATGGATTCAAATAAACATATATTAGGGCAGTTAGGTGGTGCAATGGATAGAGTGCCAGGCCCCAAGTTAGGAAGACTCATCTTCCTGAGTTTAAACCTGGTGTCAGACACGTCCAAGCTGTGAGACCCTGGACAAGTCGCTTAACCCTGTTTGCTCAGTTTCCTGAGCTGGAGAAGGACATGGCAAACCACTTTGCCAAGAAAACCCCAAGTTGGGTCATGAAGAGTCAGACACGACTGAAAAATGACTTAACAAAATGCATATATTAGCATGTACACAAAGTTGAATTGTAGCCTGCCAAGTTGTTTTGTTGGTTTTTTACAATGATGATGATACTGCTTTTATGAAAAGAATTGCTTTTGTTTTCATTATAGATTCTGATTCCCAGCACAGCCATGAAGTGATGCCTCTCCTATATCCTCTCTTTGTCTACCTCCATCTTAACATGGTCCAGAATGGCCTGAAGAGCACAGTGGACAGTTTTTATAGTCGCTTCCATGGAATGTTTTTGCAGAACGCCAGCCAGAAGGATGTCATCGAGCAGCTACAGACTACTCTGACCATTCAAGACATCCTGTCCAACTTCAAGCTCCGGGCATTCCTGGATAACAAGTATGTGGTCCGCCTCCAAGAGGACAGCTACAATTACCTTATCCGCTACCTCCAAAGTGACAACAACAGTGCCCTGTGCAAAGTTCTCACCTTACACATTCATCTTGATGTGCAGCCTGCCAAGAGAACAGACTACCAGCTATATGCCAGTGGCAGCTCCTCACGAAGTGAGAGCAATGGCCTGGAGCCAGCAGATATGCCCACATCTATTTTGCAGAATGAGGCTGCTCTGGATGTCCTGCAAGAGAGCATTAAGCGAGTCAAGGATGGACCCCCTTCACTTACCACAATTTGTTTCTATGCCTTCTATAACACTGAGCAATTGCTGAATACTGCAGAAATCTCCCCAGATAACAAGCTGCTAGCTGCTGGGTTTGATAATTCCTGTGTAAAACTTTGGAGCTTGAGGTCCAAAAAGTTAAAATCAGAGCCCCATCAGGTGGACGTGTCCCGCATCCGCTTGGCTTGTGATGTTCTGGATGAAGAGGTCTGAGTAGCATTTATTTTTACTTTTGCTTCTCTCAATACATTTTGGGGAATATTTAGCTAATTATAATCAGCTGTAACAACCTAGCCAAATTTTGTAGACATAGAGCTACTTATTTGAGTTGAATTTTTAGGATAGCCATATAATTATTGATATTAACAAAACTCTCTACTCTCTTTGGTTTTATTGACAGTCTCAGAAGTTGCTATTAAAAATGGAAATCTTATTTTAGCTCATATTCATATTAGCTAGCAATATCTGGTTAAATCAAATAAGATAACACATGTAAAGTGCTTTGCAAACCCTAAGATACTATTTAAATACTATTTTTAGCTATTGTTATTAGTGTTGAAAATGAGGGGTAGAGAAAAAATTTTTCATTCAACATTTATTAAACACATATGATAAGAAAGTTATTGTTAACATCCATTCTTACTAAATTAGCACAATTAATGACCAATAATTATTAACAGTTGGCATGTGGGTAACATCTAAGGTTAATACAATCCTCTATCATTTGAGGTGTGAGCTTGAACTAGAGCATCAAGGTTTATTGGAGTAGAAATTCTCCTACAGAAAACAGTAGGCATCAGCTCCCAGAAAAATCTCATCACAAAGGGAGCTACATTTTACTTCCTAGCAGCTCTAAAGACTAGGGCTCTTGTAAATTCAGCTAGTTTCTCCCAGAAAATGCCAGGTCATAAAAGGGAGACAGTTTAATTCCTTTAATTTATAAATAAACATAACATTTCCATATTTTAAAATCTGCTGTAATCAGTAAACTTAAAACACCCACTAGTCTAAAAATTCAACTCTCACTCTGCTTCTGGCTGCAATTTTTTTTTCTTCCCCTAGTATGAATGACCATACCACCACATCTAGTGTATGTTGTATTAGAGTATAAGTGCTAAGAAAACCTGGAAGCTCTAGATTGGAAATGGGGGGGAAAAAATGAGACTCAAAGTATGGTGACTGTTATGCCCAATAATACAGTTTATGGTCATTAACCAGTGGCAGATGTGTAGCATCCAACGGTCAAAAGTCCCAGGCAAAGAGAATACTACTTTTAGGCCATTCCTCCACAGGGAGACTTTAGAGTATGAGTTTGGACCAGAGGAGCCTGGAATACCAAATTGATTTGGGGATGAGGAAGGAGATGAACTTCTGGTTGCTGTTCTCATCCAGGAGTATACCACTTAGGTTTCTTGGGAATCCATGATGTAAGGTTTCTATGGATCCCCTCCTACATCAGCAGGAGCTTTGGCACAGTAGTGTAGAGTGGTATAGGAGGCCTTCACTCAGTCTTGAAAGACCACTTCTTTTCAGACTATGGTTTATTAATACTTCAACCCTGCAGCCTGATGTTTCTTGTAGGACTGGATTAACTTGCAGTAGCCACATAGAACTAAGTTAGTTTAAGCTGTGGCCCAATAGGTAGCTCATAGTGGTCCCTGAAAGCTAGTGGGAAAGTTCTCATTTTTCCATTTCTTTGGCCGCTAAAATCAATTCAACTTTATTCATAGGAATGCAGTGTTATTCATTTTAATCCAACATTTATTGCACTGCTAAGTTTACCTACTCTCAACAAAATCTTTACCTACCCCTCACTGTTTTTTAGGTCCCCACAGAGGAGATCAGGTACTCTTGTTGATACCAAAGAGCAATTAAACTATAAAGATCAGATTTAATGTAACCTGGTTCACAATTAACTTTAAAGAAATCTTTGTAGGATTGGAATTGGGTCTTTTTAAAAATAGTTCTTGCATAAACTCTCAACTTCATGAAGAAATGAGTCATTCATGAAATTCACAACTGTTATTATAGTCTCCTTTGGGAAGGAAAATTACTAATATTAATAGTAGCACTCAATAGAACACTGAACTGAGAGAGGACACATTTTAAATACTGAATATCTAAAGTATATTTTGAAAAAAATCAATAATGGATGTCAATTCTTTTCCTGGTAACTCTTGACCTTCAATGCTTCACACTTATTAAGGGCAGACATAGTAACTAAAGTTTGCATTGAGTATACCTCTAAACAAAGACATAATGGGTTCTTGCCTATCCACATTTCATCTCTTTTCCACTTTCTTCTTTATTTACCTTAAATCCATTGTAGCCAGTTAGTGCCACAAGAGACATTGCTGCAGTTCTGAATGCTGTTCTGAGGTGGTCCCTGAATAAGTGAGGGGAAAATGAGGACTTTTTGTGTAAAGAGGACTCTGTAAAGCAGGGGTGCCGTACTCAGAATTGGGGGCCACTAACTGTACATAAGGATCCTTACCTGCTGCATATTGACTTAGAAAATCCATACATTAACATATTCTTTTGTATTTTTATTTATTTTGTTAAATATTTTCTAATTATATTTCAGTTTGGTTCAAGTCTCCAGTGTGTTTGACACCTCTACTCTACACAGTAAAAATGGTATTTGTATTTTTGACTGTAGAAAATTGTGGCCAAAAATCACACATGTTACTGAGACTTTGTTTAAAGCAGCCCTGAGTGTAATTATTGCCTTGTTGCTTTTCAGGATATCTTTGACATTTGGATAATAATAAATCATGTTCCCCTCTTCAATTTATGGCTGCTAATGACATCATACTGAAAACTGTATCTATCAAGTTAGTAGCAAAACCATACCATCCTTGCATTTATATTTTTTTGTCTAAAACATCAAGGATATTTTCATATTAACCTTAGAATAATGCTACTTCAAATATTTCTGTCTTTAGCATTCACTGAACCCAAGTAGGGAATGCTAAATTTTTTGTCTCAAGTTTTTTTTTAATATAATGGACTTAAACCTCCACCCCCCAAGAAAAAAACCATTTCCATATGCACAGCAGAATGCAAAAAGAATATTCTTTATGAAACAATGATCCTCCATTCCTTATCACTTTTTTTTAAAGCATGTAATAAATTCCACATGTTACTTTCAAAACTGTCCTGCTTGTTTGGGCTTCCTCTTGAAATTTTTTCTGTGTATTATTGCAGATGTTTCAATGGTCCTCTTTTTTTCAAACATCACTATTGCCAACCTCTCCTTTCTCCCTCAATTCCCTCCAAACTAAATACCAAGACAACTTTAAAAATTAAAACCTTGTAACAAGTAAACATAAGCAAAGTTAATCCATACAGTGAGCATGTCCAAAAATAAATGTCTCTTTCTGAACTTGAGAACATCACCTCTCTGTCAAGATGTGTGGATAATATGCTTCCTCGTAGATGCTGTAGAAATAAGGTTAGTCACTGAATGAATGAATAAATGAAGGGACAGCTGGTGGCCTACTGAAAGTGCTCTGGGCCTACAGTCAGGACACTGTGTTAAATGTTGGGGAAATAGAATAGTAAGACAGATAGAAAAATGAAAAAGGCCCTGCTCTCAAGGAGCTCGCATTCTAATGCGGGAGACAACACATATGGAAGGTTTTAGCTACAAGATAGTTGGAAAAGTCCCATTGTCCTTAGAGTACAGCAGCAAAACAGATGATGATACTTTTTATGTAATGTAAATTTCTCTGGTAAAATCAGTATTTTATATTGAGCCAGGACTTTGGTAGCAAGAACTTTCTCTTCTGGTACTTCAGTAGCTGAATGATGGCTAGGCACTGTGCTAGGAGCATTATTATTCCCAAAGCTCCTGGGTTCAGGAGGGTCTGAGAGGAGATGGTAATCAAGATGGTGTTTGTGGTTTGATTTACCTGGCAAGTGCTGCCTCCTGTCTCTCCTTTAAGGTGCCCCACTGCTTCAGCAAGGCTGGCTTGCCTGCCTTGGCTGCCCTCTTCTGCACAGAAATTGCTTCCCAAATGATGGCTGTTAAGAGTTGGGCTGGAAGCAGGGCTGGGAGTCTTGGGGAAGTGCTGCCACTTTCAGAGCTCTTGTGCTTATCTGCTTGTTGGTAGCAGTTGGTCATCTGTTGCTGCTGCTGGTGAGGAAGGTGGGCCCCTTCTCCACAATGATCACTACATTGATCAGTTAAGTTCTTCAGAGTTGTTTTTCTTTAGTGTTGTCCTTATACAACTTGTTCTCCTGCTCCTGTTCACTTTACACTGCATACTCAGGATTCTCTGAAATTGTCTCATTTGTCATTTTTTACAGAGCAATATTATTCCATTACATTCATATACCAGTTTGTTCATCTATTTCCCAATTGATGGGCATCTCTCCACTCTTAGATTCTATTTCATTTTTCTTTTTTCCTTTTATTAGTCCCTTCTGGATCAAGCAGTTTGTTTTACTTTACTATTCCCTCCCTAGTGTTATCCTCCTCTTGTTTGTTTCCCTGTTAAATTTGATACATTCCTACAACATACTCTGTGTGTTCATAAATTTAATCTTCATTCTTCATCTAATTAAGATGAATGAGGTTTATCTGACATCTTCCCCCATACACACACATGCATACCCTTTTCTCCATGTTTGTATACTTTTCTTCTCCCATAGCCCAGTTATAAGAAATAACAAGTTCTTCTTTTCCTCATTAGTATATTCCTTTTACCCTCTCTTCCCTTTCCCCCAGAATAGAACCAATCTACCCCCCGCCCCCATCCTCAGTTTTTCTTTAACTTCTTAAACATTTTAAGGACATTAAGGTTCTGAAGGGACACTTGTGTCTTCTACTAGAATGGTAACACAACAGTATTATAGTCTTTTCATCAGAAATTCCTGAAAGTCTTTTGTTTTCCCCTTATTAGATTATAGTTAGCTTTTCTAAGTAAGTTTTTCTTGTTTGCAAGCTAAGCCTATCTCTTTTGCAATGTTGTATTCCAAGATACAATTTAAATATCTTTTAGAGTAGATGCTGCCAGGTCTTATGTGATCCTGACTGTGGTTCAGACCTCCTTCTGGATGCTTGCCATATTTTTCTTAGGCATGAAAGCTCTGGATTTTGGCTATGACATTCCTGGAACTTTTCCTTTGGGAATGAAGGGGTCTTTCTGTGATGTGACTGGTGGATTCTTTACTTCCCCTTTTGAGGAATCTCAAATAAATCTGGGCAGTTTTAATTATGAATTCTCGAAATATAATGTCCAGACTATTTTTTTAATCATGGTTTTCAGGGAGTGCATTGATTTTTAAATTACCTCTCCTTGACCTATTTCCAGTCAGTTTTTTATATTAAATATCTTACATTTTCTTCTATTTTAAAAAATCTGTTGGTTTTTGTTGTATTATTTCTGCTTTCTCATGGAATCATTGATTTCTATTTGGTCTATTCTAGTTTTCAGGAAGTCTATTTCTTGGGTAAGTTTTGCCTCTTTCTTTTTGAAGCTGTTTATTCCCCATCTAATTCTTTCTTCCAGAGCTTTTACTTATTTATTTTTCTTTTATTTCCTGCTTACTTTCTTCTAGATATTCATGTAGTCCTTGTGAAATATCTGGGGTTTTTCTCCTTTGAGTCTCTGCGTTGCTTTCTCCTATGCTGATTGATATCCTATTTTTTGTTTACTCATCCCTTCAAACTTAGTTCCTGAACTAGGATTTCATGCAATTTTATGCTCAGCCCTCCTGCTGCACTTCTGGGTGGAGTGGTCTGTGTGGTCTCACTCTGGATCACATGGGTTTCTGTGCAGTCCTCCACCTCCCAGGTTTAGGCCCCACTGGATCTTTCAGGTTTAGAACCCTGAATCTTCAGGACCCTTGATTTTTCCTTAGGACATAGTACAAGAAATCTGAGAGTCACTGTACCAGGGATGTCTTGGTCTAAAGTTTGACATAACATACTGGTCATGACCACTCCTGGCTATTTCTAAGGCCCCACCCTAGGAATTTCCCAGAGGAGCCCTCTGTTCCAGATAGAAAACCTTGCAGGCTACAAGTATCTCTAACCCATTTCAGAGCTCATTAGGCAACTGTCAGTTTGTTGGCCTGAGCTGTTGCTGACTTTGCTGACAGCCCCCTTTCTTATTGGACATGGTCTTCTGGACTACTTTTTATGCAGTTCTGGAAAGGAAGAAGTCACTTATGGTAGTGTCTTAATAGATTGCTTAATCATTACTTGATCTGGTTTTTGGTGGAGTCATGTTTTGGAAAAGACAACACTGTAGTGTCTCATTGGATTGCTTGATCATTATTTGGTCCGGTGCAGTTTTTATGTTTTTGCTGGAGTAAGTCTGTGGGATCTGGGCAGTCTACTTCCATTCAGGTAACCATCTTGTCTGGCATTGCTAAATTTGGGTCAAAAGTGTATCTGGTCTTCCTTGTCGATTAGAAACTATCAGATTAAGACAGGCAACAGGAATATGAACATTTAGTTTTAATAGAAATTCTCTTTTAGAACACCACATAATGCCAAATTAGCAAAGAGACTCTCAATTTGGTCTATATCCTAATCTAGAACACTTAATAAACTTTCTATTAATACTCTAAAACAGTTATGTATTCCTTCAGTTTTTGAGACTCTAATAACTATTTCATATAGCTGAGGCTGTACTCAAGAGAAAGGCAGTCACTATTTACAGGATACCTTTCCTTTTCATAAGCAGATTTCTTTCCCTCCATAAAACACTAAGCTTTTTAATATTGTTACACCACTAAACGATTTTTCCTTGTGCGTGATTTTCTTTTTCTCCTTATCTGCTGTTTTTCTAGGAAGACGATGATGACAACGTGGGCACAGAAATGAAGATCTTGAGAGGGCATTGTGGGCCCGTATACAGTACGAGGTTCCTATCAGACAGCTCAGGGTTGCTATCTTGCTCCGAAGATATGTCTATTAGATACTGGGACCTTGGAAGTTTTACCAATACTGTATTGTACCAAGGACATGCCTATCCTGTCTGGGATCTGGATATCAGTCCATGCAGCCTATACTTCGCAAGTGGTTCCCATGACCGCACTGCAAGACTCTGGTCATTTGATCGGACGTACCCATTGCGAATATACGCAGGACATCTAGCAGATGTGGACTGTGTAAAATTCCACCCCAATTCAAACTACTTAGCTACAGGCTCAACTGATAAGACTGTTCGTCTATGGAGTACTCAGCAAGGAAATTCTGTGAGGCTCTTCACAGGTCACCGAGGCCCTGTGCTTTCACTTGCGTTTTCTCCAAATGGTAAGTACTTGGCATCTGCCGGTGAGGACCAGCGGTTGAAGCTGTGGGACTTGGCATCTGGTACCCTCTACAAAGAATTGAGAGGCCACACGGACAATATCACCAGCCTTACTTTCAGCCCAGATAGTAGCCTGATTGCCTCTGCATCCATGGATAACTCTGTTCGGGTTTGGGATATTCGGAACACTTATTGCAATGCTCCTGCAGATGGTTCTTCCAGTGAACTTGTTGGTGTATATACTGGGCAGATGAGTAATGTACTGAGTGTTCAGTTTATGGCCTGTAACCTTCTTCTAGTGACTGGAATTACACAAGAAAATCAGGAACATTAATTTTTTTTTCTTTTTTAATGAATTGGGATAGTGGTGGAAGGCTTTGCAATTATAAGAGTCTTACTACAAACTGAGATTAAATCACTGACTGTGAAAGACACTTCCTCCCCTTCTCTTTTTCCTTTCTCCCATTGGCAGGCAGGTCTTTGGTATTGCAAATACCATATTGTTGTTCTGCCCAAAAAATGTCCTGAAACACTGAGGTTGGAGAAGGAGAGGTTGAAGAAAGATGGGTGTGTAGGCTTGAGTCAAGGAGTTAAGGTGCTTCTGAGGTCAGATGGAATTTCATAGAGATCTTGTTGTGACCTTGAACAAGTACCTTAATTTCTGTCTCACTTTTCCCATTCATAAAATTGGAATAATAATAATAATGCACCCTCACCTCAGGGTGTAGGGATTTTTGATTGGATGATATTTGCAAAGCACTTTGAAGATAAGCAGTGCTAAAAGTGTTAAGTATTATCATTCACTTTGGTTGAAGGGAAATCCTTTTGGCTTAGGAATGCAAGGGTGGGAGTTGGGGTTGTGGGGGGAGGATGGGTAATCCTGGTAGAAAGTCTTTCATTTTCTGCAGTTGCAAAGAACCAGGATTTTTTTTATTATTGTTATAATTATTATTATTATTATTATTATTGAGAAGAGGAAATCTAGCACTGGCAGAGGGTTCCATCTCTGCTTTTATCTTTCAGGTTTGACTCCTGGCACTGGCTGTGATACTTGGAATTTTGAGGTTCAGGGACTTAGAGAATTTGGTCGCACAGTGTGTTGGGAGAAAAGGGCAATTTCTGGGTGGTGCTTAAATCACCCTGGATGAGGTGTTATGGGTGGGTGGGTTTGATTGAGAAAGTTTTGGGCTCCTGCAGTGATGGTGGGAAGGGAGAATTCTCTTCCTAGTTGCACCTCTCCATAAAAGAACATTTTGTTGCATGGGGATACAAGTAATTTTGCAATGGTAAGTCATAAATTGAAATTGGAAAAATTTAATTCCCATATTATCATATATTCAGGGGTGTAGCTTTTTTGCAAATGTTTTTTCCTTCCCGAATCTCCTTGCTCCCACCTCCTGCATTGCAATACCAGTTTTATGAACACTTTGTGAAACAAGTCTTAGATATATAAAACCATGCTTTGAGGACAAAGCAAGTTCTAATTTGTTTGTGGAGAAAAGGATTAAATATTTCTGTTTTCTGAAAAGAGTTATTTTGTATTTTGTTTTCTATTAAAAAATCATTTAGTTTAAAAAAGTGTTGATACCTTTTTTGGGCATTGAGGAGAGGAGGATGTGTGGTTTGTTTAGAGAGCAAGATGGGGGTGCTATTTGGTCATTGGTGTGGGCTAGCAGCTGAACAGATTGTTTTCAGCAAGGCAACTTGTCCCTCATCAAAGTAATAACCACTTAAGAAGGTTAGACTGGCCCCAATATGTTTATTTGGTTCAATTCATTATTTTTATCTCCTATTACATGTTCAGCACATTTTGCATCAGGATTACAGATAGCATTCAGCTTGGCAGTTGAGAGTGTTTACACTATAAGCCTATTCAGATTTACCAGCTGTTGACAAATGGTAGAAGCTTAAGATTGTTATACATCTTTTACTTTTTGGAATTTTTAGTTATGCCTCCCCCTCAGTAAAGAGTTATATTTGCTAGTGGACATATTCTAGCTTCTCTGTTAATAAACCTGCTTTGTAGAAAATAATGGGGATTTTAAAGAATAATTTGTCCATCACACAGTACTTCAAATGCACTGAAAAAAATGACTTAGAAAAATTGTTTGCCTTTCCAAAGTCATGAAAAATGGAGCTTGAGGAGTTCCTCTAATCTGTAGGTTAACTTAGAACAAAGCATCTGCACCTTCTAGGTTTTCTATATTGGAGTCTGGAACTGAGATGTGCTCTTAATTCTTTCCTCTTGAACTGTCAGATTTTGAAGAACAGTACTAGGAATGTTGAAGATTCCCAACTTAAACTGTATCCTATCAGAAATAGATAGCATAGGTACTCCTCCGGATTATTTTTGTGATCCTAGATCACTTGCCAGGACTAAAGAAGATGAGAAGAATTCTCTTAAACCATTTTGCCAAGTAGAATAAAAAACTAACTAGCTTAGTAAATTTCCACCAATCCTACTTATCTGTTTAGATTTGGCGATACATATCAGTGGCCTAAAAATTATATCACAAGCACCATTCATCTTTGGTGCATTTGGCCAAATTCCTACTGGCATATGTTTTTATTGGAGGTGAATACAGTAAGGTCTCATCTTTTTTTGCTTTTTTTGGTGAGGTAATCAGGGTTAAGTTACTTCCCCAGGGTCACACACCTAGGAAATGTCAAGTGTCTGAGCTCAGATTTGAACTCAGGTCTTCCTGACTCCAAGGCCAATGTTCTATCCACTGTGCCACCTAGCTGCCCCAATAGGATCTCATCTTAAAGTGTCCTAATCTTGTGCCTGAAGATTTTTTTTCTACTTCTGGCCTCATATTTGACTATAATATCTTATGTATAAAAGATACGTTTATAAAGTATCTTTTGCCATTATCCCCAAAGAGTGGGGAGTAATGGAAAATATAGGTAAGACTTGTGTGTATATGATGTGGCTAGTATAGTAGCTTTTTAGATTGCTGTAACATCAGCTATATCATTTTATCCTTACAACCTTGTGAAGCAATTAGGGTAAATATTATTTAACTATTTTATAAATGAGAAAACTGAGTCCTCAAAAGGCTGTGCTGCTTATCCAAATGGATCGTGAGGTGTTCATTTATGTGAGGAGGCAGAAATAGAGACTCAGTATCCTCAAGGTATAGAATCATAGATTTAAAACTGGAAAGAGCCTTAAGCAGTCATGTGTTCTCTTCTTCTTCTTTTTTTTTTTTTTTTGGTGAGGGCAACTGAGATTAAGTGACTTGCCCAGGGTCATGCAGCTAGTGAGCATTATGTGTCTGAGGCGGGATTTGAACTTCAGTCCTCCTGACTCCAGGGCCGGTGCTCTACCCACTGTACCACCTAGCTGCTCCCTTTTTTTTTTTCAGTCATGTTTTCAAGCCCATAATTTTACATTTAAGAAAACTGAGGCACAGAGAGGTTAATTGATTTACCCAAGGTCCTATAGGGATTTAGTGACAAAACGCTGTGGTACTTTTAAAGGACCCTAAAAGATCAAATAATTTCTCCCTCTGATCTTAAGAAAATATCTTTAAAGTAGTAGATGAAGAGCTGACAGGAACCAAATATACTTAGAAACATTGATGAGACTCCTCATTAGCATTTGTAAATGAATTAATATCAGGGCAAAACATAAAAGAAAAAGACTAAAGGAAAGTAAAAACATACTAAAGTTGAAATTATAACCAACAGGGATAATTCTTCACTTCTTTTTAAAAATTATTTATTTCATTAAATATTTCCCAATTACATATAAAAAATTTTAGCAGTCTTTTTTTTTAATTTTGAGTTTCAAATTCTCACTTGCCCCTCCTTAAGAAGGCAAGCACTTTAATTTCAGTCATACATGTGAGATCATGCCAAATTTTCCATATTAGTCATGTTGCAAAAGAGAACAAAATAAAACAATAAAAATAAAGAAAGGTGTTTTTTCTTTTTTTTTAATAAAGAAAGTTTTTGAAAAGTATGCTTCAATCTGGATTCAGAATTCATCAGTTCTCTCTCTGGAGGTAGCATTTTTCATCATGGGTCCTTTGGAATTGTCTTGATCAGGGTAGCAAGTCTTTCAACTCTTTACTTCTGTAGAATGTTGGTAACTCACTGCCATCCACAGCATCACTCTTATGATATTTGTTAGCCTGGGAAAGGCTAAAAAATGTATTTTTCCACAGAAAATTCCATCTGCTAAGGTTGGCTTAGTAAGAAAATAGCAGAGATGAGAAGGAAGAAGGGAGATAATCAGGTTACAGGAATATCACTGATGAGAGTAAAATAAAAGATAGAAAAAGGAGAAAAGACATCAAATTGTTTATTTCTACTTTTGTAGTAATATTTAAATATATTTATAAATGAACACAAGTATTTTTAATATCATTAAATTATATTAAACCTATTTAAATTTGGACATGGAAAAGATCTTTGGGGTCCACAAAGTAGCTCTGGTTGTTGCCACAAGTCAATGTGTATATACGTGGATTAAAAGATTCTTGTATCTCTCAGATTTCATTTTCCAAGTAGAACATTGCAGAATAAACTGTAGTTACATTATGTACTCAATATGTACATCCAGTTCTTATTTATTCCTGCATTGTTTCAGGAGCACACAGAAGCTCAGTTGCATTTTTTAAGGAATGCAATTGTTTGCTTTTTGGCTTCCTGCCCTTGACCTGTTCTATAAACCTAGTCACCACCTACCTGTGAGTGACAGAATGCTGAAGAAGTTAACTTCAGTGAGTGCAAGTAATAAGCATAAAAGACAATTATGTCAAAACTGACTTTTGCTTAGTGGTTTTGCATTTATTTCAGGGAAGAGCTGACTTTGATTTTCCATTTTGGGAATTGTGTTCAGGGTTTGTAGTCCTGACAGTTGAAAGTACTAATGTTAATGATACTGAGCAAATTGCTTCATCCTTTTAAAAACTAAGCTACTACTTAGGCACATCTCAACTAATGCTCATGAAGTTACCTGCGCAAATTCATAGTAATTCTGAACCTTCTAGGGACTTAGTGGCAAAACTGTGTGATACTTTTAAGACTCTAAAAGATCAAATAATTTCTCCCTGCAGTCTTAGTGAACAGGCCACACCCTTTCAGTAGTGGAGAATCCCCAACTATTTCAGGTGTTATCAATGACTAATCTTCTTTCTTTACATTTAAATTACCTTGTTCATATTTGGGGAAAGGAGGAGCAGGAGGAGATAGTGGACTTGTGATTTCATCAATATAGAGAAGGCCTGGTACGTAAACTCCTTTTACCAATCTCAGCAGCTCTTCTGTAATGTAAAAGTCTTAGACAGTTACCTGGGGCCACTGATAGATTGTGTGTCCTGCTTGCTCGTAGTCATATAGCTAATGTGAATTCGAGGCATGACCTGAACCCCCATCTTCCCGAGTCTGAGGCCAGCCCTCTATCCACAGCATCCCATGTACTAATGATAATAATAAAGTTCTATAAAACATTATTAGGACTGATGTGAGGATTTTAATCTGAGGGGAAAGAAGGTGATTTTTTTCAGTTGAAATGAGGAAAAAGAACAAATCAATAATGATTCCATCTTCATACATTTGTAAAATATCAATTTAAAAAATGTAAAGCAGGGGTAGCTAGGTGGCAGGGTGGATAGAGCACTGGCCCTAGAGTCAGGAGAACTCAAGCAAATCCGGCCTCAGATACATAACACTAGCTGTATGACTCTAGGCAAGTCACTTAACCACAATTACCTCACCAAAAACAAAAAAATGTGCAGCAACTGAGCAGACTGCTGAAAACCAGTGGAGTTAGAATCTAGATCCTAAAATGTAAAGCAATCAATCGTTTGACTAGGAAAAAAAACCTTTTAAAATCAAAAAGTAAGGTTTTTTCTCCAGTTGATTGTCTTATAACACATATGTGACATAAACAACATTTCTGGATTCCTGATGGACTTCAAGAGCTATCTGGATAATTTCCAAGATAGACTGACTACTATTCTTAGTGAAATACATTAAGTTTGTTTTAAGTATTCTTTTCTTGAAGTTTTCTTTTTTGATATTTGAAAATATTTTTTTTCTTTCCAGTCAGAAATGCTGTTTGTAACTGCCATTTGTTACTTGGATTGTCAGTGTTTCTAGGATTGGCTCCTCATCTGTAAAACATTTAAAATCTCTTCACTTCTGAAGGGTGTCTAAACGTTTGAGTTAATAATATCCATAAAGTGCTCTGGACTTAAAAGGAGAAGGACTGGGCAAATACATAAAGTAAAATATGTAAATGAACAGGATACTTAGGTTCCAATATGAACAAGAAAAGGGAATTCTTTTAGATCCGTCAGCAAGACATGTAACAGAATCCAAAATTAGTTTGTACATGTGATAAACTATTAAAGTATGGGAAAATAAGTTTCAATCCATTTTTATTACTGGAAGATTTAAATCAGTTACCATTTTAGTTACACAATAAACTTTTTTCCCAGAAAGGGAGTATAATCATCAAATTTTTAGTGCTCTGGTGAGCTTAAGTCTTTAATCTTAGTATGTAGAGTCTCTGCC